GTTTGCTCTTCAATGATAAAGCTTAAGACAGAGTATTGTGTCTAGTTCTGGGTGCCACATTTCAGGGAAGATGTGGAGAAAGTCAAAAGGAGACCAGCAAAAATGATTAAAGATCTAGAAAACAAGACTTGTGAAGGAAGATTAAAAGATTTGAGTTTGTTTATTGTGGAAAAGACAGAGGGGGTAACATGATAACAGTTTTCAAGTACAAGTTTAACCTCCCTTTTCTGGCACCCTTGGGTCCAGAGTAGTCCCAAACAAGGGAATTTGCTGGACCAGGGGAGGTCAGGCCTCCGGGCTCTCCTGGCAAGCTGCCTAGAGAGAACTCTTGAGACCTGACGTCCTTGGCTCACCTGCCTGGGTCTGCTGCCCCCAGCCCACTTGAGGGCTCTGCTCCTTGTCTCCAACCCCACGTTGGGCAGCAGCTGCTCCCGGGGTTCTCCGGCCCTTGGGCACAGCAGTGACAGCTGCTCCCTGGGTTCCCCAGAACCTTGAAAGCAGCCGGACAGCAGCTGTTCCCAGGGCTCTCTACCCCTTGGGTCACTGCCCCTGCAGGCTGCTGCTGAGTAAACTGGCTCTGCTCCCAGCCGCTCTCAACCTCTGCGGCTGGGCTTTCTGGTCTAGCAACATCTGCGGTCCTGCCAGACCAGGGATGTTGCTGGACCAGGGAGTCCCGGAGGACAGAGGTTCAACCTATACAAAAAAGGATGTCACAAGGAAGAGGGTGAAAAATAATGTCCATAACATCTGAGGACAGGTCAAAAAGTAATAGGATTAAATTGCAGTAAGGAAGGTTTAGATTGGACACTAGAAGAAACTTCCTCACTGTCAGGGTTGTTAAGCACTGGAACAACTTGCCAAGGGAGGTTATAGAATTTCGGTCAATGAAGGATTTTAAAAACAGGTTAGACAAACACTTGTCAAGAGTGGTCTAATTATTAGGTAGCCCTGCCTTGAGAGTAGGGGACTGGAATAGATGACTTATTGAGGTCACTTCCAATCCTACACTTTTTATGATTCTAAAAACAACAAGAAAGCCCCAGAAAATTATCTGAAAACATCCAAAACGTTACATGTAAAGTCTGGGGAAGAGGAATCTTGGTATGAAACACTGGAGGTCTGATTCTGCTACCCTTACACATGCTGAGTAATTTTTAGTCCACAAGAAAGAATCATTCAAAATTGATAGAGGTGGCAAAACTGAACCCTAAGGTTTCTGCCACTCACGTCAATAGGAACAGATGATGTCCAAAATTCACCCCAAAATCAGGCCAATGAAGTAGACATTGGTCAAAGTGAGATATGCAAAGTTTAAAAGCGGATCATTACATGTGAATGCTCCAACCAACTCTGCCTGACAGGGATAGTTAGAGTTTTTAATCATAGCTGTAATCATAGATTCTGTAATTTATTATTATTATATAAAAATCTGTGACTTTTGAGGATTATTGCATGTGATGGGCAGATGTGATATGAAGCAACTAAACTTATTTCACCGAGAACTAGGGATGTTAGATATCAGGTAATTGAATAGTTGTGTAACTGCATGAAATCTTTGCAGTAACACAACTATTTGATAGTTCCCAAAGGTGAGGCCATCAGCCATTATGCTCCTGGCCCCACTCTTGGGGAGTCCCGTGTCACCCTGTGCTGCTGCCTCTGCTAGTTTAAAAACCAGCTCCCCTCATGGACCGGCAGCCTGCAGTGTGCGGTGGCAGCAGCCCCTGTCTGTGGGGGAATCCAAGCTCCTCGTGGACAGAGGCTGCTTCACATCTCCCAGAGCAGACTCTGTTCACAACAGGCTGTTCGCTGTGCAGAGTCTGCTTCGAGGCAGCCTTCCCTGCTCCCTCCCCGCATTGCTGCCTCTGATAGAGGCAGCAACGTGGGAGCTGGAGGCAGGCGGCACCGCAGAGCTGGTGCTGGAGGGAACTTGGCTTTTAAGCTGGCTGCCCCCAGCATCAGCTCCTGCAACGGGGGGGCTGGAGGCAGGCGGCACCGCAGAGCTGGTGCTGGAGGGAACTTGGCTTTTAAGCTGGCTGCCCCCAGCATCAGCTCCTGTTCCCCACCCCACTTGCTGCCTCCGATACAGAGGCAGCAAGGGAGGAATGCAAGTAGTCAACATGATAAGCCTAGGCTTATATGTTCATTGTCTAGTCAACTACTCATTGACATCCCTACTGAGAACCTTTAGAGTTGCCAACTTAGAACATGGGACTCGGACAGAAATTAGAAAACAATATTCAAGATTAATAGAGGCTACATCTAGACTACAAAGAAAAGTAGGAAAAGATACGCAAATTACATACCACAATTTGCATATCTTTTCTTGCTTTTCTTTTGAAAGAGGCTTTTCCGAAATTTGGTGCATCTACATGGTGCCAAATTTCAGAAAAAACAGCTCTTTTGAGCCATCCCTTCTTCCTCGTAAAACGAGGTTACAGGGATGGTGAAAGAATACGTCCATTTTTTCTGAAATTTTTCCAAAAAAGCGGACGCGTTCCTTAGACATGGCATTACTTTTCCAGGATACCTCCAGT